TCCCATCCTCCCTGCTCCCCTCCCCAGCTGCCATTCCCCATGCCCTCATCATCCTCCCTGCTCCCCTCCCCAGCTGCCATTCCCCATGCCCTCATCATCCTCCCTCCTCACCTCGTCGTGTGTGGCGATGGCTTCAGCCAGGGCCATCAACCGCGCTCTCAGCCGCGCCTCAATGGACGCACCCGACCTGCCCAGCAGGTCCGCACACAGAAACTCACTCGACACCCCTAGCCCCTCCCCATCTCCTCCTCCTCCTCGTCCACCTCCTGCCTCAGCGACTGCTTCACCCCCAATTCCAATACCCCCTCCAGCCCCCACAACTCCCACCCTTCCCTCAATTCCCTCACATTCCCCTGCTCTACCCCCCTCCCAGGCACGGCCCGCAATACCCAGAGACCGCTGCTCTATGTCAGCAAATGCTGCGCTTTCCTCCAGAGCTGTTGCCTGGGGGTGGCTCCCCATGGGTGAAACCCTTCCCCCCATGCTCCCACGTGGCGTGTGCGATGCGCATGGGATGTTGATGTGAACCCCTGTCTCCTGTAATTCTCTCCATAGCCCTGGTAACCTGCTGCCCCCGTACCGGCTGCGGCCGGCACCCATGCCCATACCCATGCCCATTCCTGTGCCTATCCCCGCCCGCACCCCAGTGCCCATGTGTGTGTGCATGCCGTGGGCCGACACACCAGGGGCGGAGTTAGGAGGAGGAAGGGAATCGAATGTGGAGCAGAGGCGGGGCAGGGGCCGTGTCAGATCGTCGAGTAGCGTGAGCTCCACGAGGTCGCCCTGGGGAGGAACAGCCCGGGGCACATGGAACAGGGATAGCTGCTGGTTGCTTCTTGCTGCGGCTGCTGCTGCTGCTGCTGGAGTAGGGGTGGTGGTGGTGGTGGTGGTGGTGGTGGCGGTGGCGGTGGCGGTGGTGGTGGTGGTGGCTTTTGTGACGAGGGCAGCCAGGCGAGAAGCCAGGTTGGGTGGCCTGCCTCCCTGGCCCCCACCCTCATGACCACTCCTACTGCCGCCCAAACTCCTTCCTTCACTCCCACTCGCATAACCTTTCCCATTACCACCCCCACCGCCAACCCCACCACCACCACCACCACCACCAACACCGCTGCCACCACCACCACCACCACCACCACCACCACTGCCAAATCCTCTAGATTCCGTACCAGCACTTCCAGCCATCAACCCCAATGCCTTACCACCCAACCCTCCACAATCGCCATCAATTCCGCTCTGCACACCACCCTCTCTTGCCTGCTGCCCTGCACCCACAAAACCTGTCACTGCCTCCTCGAATCCACTCCCCAACCCTCCCCCTCTCTCCCCCACGCCTCCCCATCCCCCCTCGCTCCTTCCCCTTCCATCCATCTCTCCCTCCTCCTCAATTGCTCCCCATGCCCGCTCTCCACTGCACCCTCCCCCTCCCCCAGCAGCCCCTTTCCCGGATCTCCCCCTTCTGGCTCTACCCCCAAAAGACATCCGTTCTGCATCCCGCCATCTCCCCCTATCTTTTCATCTATCTGAAAGGCCGAACACCATGCCTCTATCTCTGCGCCCTGCCCTTTGCTTCCACTTGCTAGGTCGTTTCCTTCCATGGCTGCCACAACTGTGTGCGCGGTTCGCTTGCTGCTAGGTGCGACCCCTCCCCATGCTGCCAGCTCCGTCCGCTGGCGCTTGAAAGGAGAACTCACAGACGACAGAGGCGAAACTGCATGCGGCAATGCCGCTGCTGCTGGTGATGGTGATAGTGGTGGTGATGATGGTGCTGGTGGTATTGGTCTCGCTGCTGATGCTGGTAGTGGCAATTCTGGTGACGGTGCAGCTGCTGCTGCGGGTGCTGGTGCTGGCGCAGCTGCTGCGGGTGCCACTGGTTTGGCGGGTGTGGGAGTATCGGTGGCATCAGCAGCAGTGGCAGCAGCGAAGGGCGGAAGCAGCGAGCAGAGAATGCAGGTGCACGCGGGGGAACAGGGGGCAAGCACGAAATGGGGGGATGAAGGGACGGGCGGAAGAGAGTGGGGGCTCTGGGGAGAACTATTAGAGTGGCGAGCGAGGGAGGATGGAAGGGAGGATGGAAAGGCGGATGGGAGGGGACAGAAGGAACGGGTATCATAGCCGTGATGGGCTGTGGAGTGATCGATTCCTTCACAGGCATGCTCACATGTGGCATCCCCAGCAGCAGGAACAGCAGGAGCAGGAGGAGCAGGAGGAGGAGGAGGAGGAGAAGGAGCAGGAGAAATAGGAAAGGCAGAAGCAGACGGATGGGGAGGAGGAGGCGGAAGAGCAGCAGCACAATGCCTATGGTCAGAAACAGGGATGGTATACGCATTAGGGATGGCGCACACACCATCGTCCCACGGCTCCTCCTCCCCGCATCCAAGCCCACCATTGATACCCCCGCCACTAACAACCATTCCATCAGCTCCCGTGACATGCCCTCGTCCTGCCCCTCCTCTACCCTCGTCACTTAAGATTCGCTCCTCTCCCTCCTCGTCTTCCTCCCATAGTAGTTCGTCCCAAAGGCTTGCCACAGGCGACGTGGCCCTCCCTGCAGCAGCAGCAGCAGCAGCAGCAGCAGCAGCAGATGTAGATGCAGATGCAGATGCGGCATCAGCAGAGGAGGATGCGACGGCGCGGCCATGGGCCCACATTCCGCGCACGCAACGGGTGAAGTGGCCTACCAGTGGTGGACGCGCTAGAACTTCCGTCACTGGGCGAGATATCTTATTCCCTGGCGCTTAGGAACGATGGACGTAGCAGCCCGAGTAAGGTATAGGTTCTAAGCCTTTTCAAGCCTCGTGGCCTCTCATGCTGGCCTCTCTTCGTAGCCTCTCGGCGTGGCGACGTTTGACTTCCTCCTCCACAGGATTGGCTGCGTGGCCGCTTGGGAAAACCGCAATCGCCGTGCGCGTGACGTGGCGTGACGGCCGATGTTTGAGCTGTCAGGGAACCCGCGAGTGTTCGACGATTTTCGTGGCCGGAACAGAATGAGCATCTGTTTTGTGTAGTCTACCTGTTGTCCTCGTGAGCCGTAGTCTCCCTGCAGTGAGAGCAGTAAGTGAGATGCGTTGCACCGCACTCCTAGGTGTCGGGTCGCTGGGGAGCATATCTGGGTGAAGGTGTAGGCAGCACCGCGAACTGAATTGTGATGGCAGGACCGAATTGCGTAGGATCCCCATAGCACGAACCAACGCTATTTATACACCCAAGTATTCGATTAAATAACACGTATTACAGTCTGATTTTGTTACACTTCAAGTTTGGTTTAGGTTTGTAATGTCGCACGGAGAGCGAGTCCCGTGGAACGTGGGTTTCTCAGGCGTTACGGTCACCAAGCAGATAAAACAATCGTTCCCCGCCCGAATCGAAACCGCCGACTTTAACGAATACTTATTGTACATGAAATGACCTCTAAAATAAGGTAACATCAATAAACAAAATTTGAGTAGTATTTACGACATATTTTCACAAGACAGTGTTTACGACATATTTTCAAACGCGACCTCGCGAAACGAGATCGATGCGTTTGACGGGGTTCTGCGGCTCCTGCTGGCGCGAGTGGCTGTGATTGGCCCTCTAGTATCCTTGCTCTCTGGTTCTACTCATTTGTCAGCGGCTCTCGCCACGCCTCTTGCAATCTTAGTAGGTGGGTGGTCGGGTAGGGAGGGACCATCAATCGAGCTAATCTCCTGCAATTTTAGCTCCCCTTTCGGCGGAAGATCGACGTTTCTTAGTGCACTGGTTGTTCCTAGTGATTGCGATCACGAGTCTATCGCCCTTCCGGTCTAGGCGTCAGTATTCCTGGAAGCTGCCGCACAGATTTGGCAGGGCAGTGAGCTTGCGACAACAACCTAGAGGTTCGCAGGTCGTTCTGCTGACTTGGACTGACTTTCGCTGACTTCTGCCGACTGCCTTCCGCTATCTTCCAGGCGGGCGCTCTCGCGGGGTTTCAGCCTGGATGGGCCTTAGCTGTAGGGGGGGATCTCGGCCGTTTCAACCACTGCACGGCTGCCGAACAGACATACTACCGACCTTACAACAGACCTTACAACAGTCACCCCTACCTAGCTCTTTCTAGTCTGGTGTTCCAGGCGAGGTAGTAGACAAGAGACCGTGGGAGGAGGAGGCGGGGGGTGTGCTGTGAGGGCTAACGGTTTCACGAACCAGCTTCCGAAGTTAACGTCTCATGTCACCATCCCCTCCCACCAGTCGCATCGCAGGGTTCGGATCCTTCCAGGCCTGAGGCCTGAGTCTCCGCTGGGTTAGAGTCAGATTCGAGAGGAAGTAGAGGCATCCAGCGATCCGCCATGGGCAGGTCCAAGGAACCCCCCATTCTTCCCTTCACCTCCTCGACAGTCTCGAGGGACGCCTCCTCCTCCATCAACGTCCCCTCCGCGCTCCCCACCTCCTCCTCCTCCTCGTCCCTCTCGTCCAACCCCAACATCGCCATCGCGCTTCTCCTCCTTTCCCGCCTCCGCGACGCCGTGAGAGCGGCAGCAGCGCAGCAGCGCCCATGGCTGGAGCTCGTCGACCGATCCGCCTTCGCGCGCCCCGAGAGCCTCTCCGACGCCGCGAGCCGCATCCGCAAGAACAGCCGCTACTTCCACGCGAATTACCTCGTCGTTCTCTTCCTCGCTATAATCGTCTCCGTTTTGCACAACCCGTTCGCCATCCTCTGGCTCGCGATTCTCTCCGCGGCCTGGGGCTACACCTTCCTGTTTCGCCCCGGACCAATCACCATAGCCGGGCGGTCGTTCAGCGAGCGGGAGAAGCTTGTCATCATGTGCCTGTTATCCGCGTTAGTAGTCTTCGGCCTGAGCCCTCTTGGCTCGGCAGTCATGTCTGGAACAGTTATAGGGGTGGCTGTTATCTGCTGCCATGCTGCGTTCAGAGTGCCCGATGATCTGTTTCTTGATGACTCTGTGGATGGGCTGGCTGGGCTGGGCATGGGCGCGGGCAGCAGCAGCGGATGGTTCAACCTGCTTCTCGGAAGCAGCACAGGCGGAGTGGGAGGTGTGGGGGGGGTTGGGGCAGTGGGAGGGGTGGGAGGGGTTGGGATGGGAGTGGGAGTGGGAGGGGTGGGTGGTGTGGGGGTTGGAAGAGGGGGTGTTGGGCTCGGGGGAAGTGGTTTAGGCAGAGGCAACAGCAGCGGTGTGAGCAAGGGTAGCAATAGTAGTGTGAGTAGTATGGACATCCCTAGACGACACTCAGCATCCACACTTGAGTCTGCCGTCTAGTCTAGTAGGGGTAGGGTGCTAAGAGTGTAGCATACAGATGGCATGGCAGGGTCTTGTTGTTCAACATTTGCCTCATTCCCGGCCCGTTTCCTCTAGTCTCCTTCAGTCAGTGACCTTGTAATAGACTGTAGTAGTAGTTCCGAAGGGTTTCTGTTTGCTTTTTCCATCCATGCCCTCCTTTCTAGACGTTTCTCCATTTCCACGTGCTGCTACAACAATGGGTCGCTTGATTGCAGAGCTCAAACTGATTTTGCTCGTGCCATCAGTTGATGTAAGTAGTACAAATGTAAAAGTTATTTGACTATTGCGGAAACTGCTATTATTCTGTAAGTTGCACCCGCTATCTAGACCAGTGTATGTTTGGATAAAGGCGGTGAGCCTCTGTAGCATAGTAGCGGGGACGAGCTTTCTAGGGGATGAGCCTTTCCAACGCAATTTATCCACGCGAGGCAGCCGGGATACAGGCGCTTTCTTTCGCTGCGTTGTTCCACGGTGTACTCGTGTCATTTGCGAAGCAAGTTCGCCACAATCGCGAATTCCTACGAGTTGCGATTTCCCCCTTCAACCCCGATTTCTCCTTCGCTCTCCATTCCCCTACCCACCACGCTGCAACCAACTCCGCGGTTCTGGAAGCTCTTCGCTTTTCTGCAATCGCCTGGTGGTTGACGCACGAGACGCCGTTTCCATGGACAAGCGTAAAAACCGGAAAAAGGAGGATGAGGGCGGCTCGTTCTCTCCGCCAAGAGAGCAGTGCTGCGCAGATCGAAATTATTGCCGAGCTTACCGGTTTAACACAATTTCTCAACCTAACGAGGTAGTACTCACTAAAAGCGTCCTCGATAGTACGGAAGGGCAGGTCGGCACGTGCAGGAACGAATCCCCGTATGCGACCGCTAGCAGTAGTCTTGGGAGTTGCAGAGGAAGCTTTTTGGCGGGATTGCTGCCCGAGGAGTTATGGCACCACGTGTTGCTGCTGCTTCCTCCCGCCGCCATCCTCTCATTCGCTGCCACGTGTCATCACTTTCTCGAAATTGCGTTTGCAGACACGATGTGGAAGTCCTTGTGTGAGCGCGATTGGGGGAAGCAGGTTGCCCGGATGGCTGCTTCCGCCGTCTTTCCCCTGTCCCAGATATCTCCCGCGCCGTATCCGCGTCCGCCATCCCCGCCGTCCCCGCCGTCCCCGCCGCCCCAGCAGCTCCTGGCGCAGCAGCAGCAGCAGGAGCAGCAGCAGGAGCAGCAGGCACAGCAGGCAGTGCAAGCGGTGCTGGCCAGCAAATGGTACCGGCTGTACCGGTCCGTTAGCGCACTGGACGGCGTGACGTGGCACGGCGTGGAAGAGAGGAGCGAGAGACGGCCGGTAGGGAGGGCGTCACACGGCATGGCGCAGATGGTATGGGGGCCGGTAGAAGCAGGGAGGGCGGGAGGTGCAGGGAGGGCGGTGGGTTCCGGCAGCCGCAACGCGGGCAAAGCGATAGTCGCAGCAGCAGCAACGCGGGCACCACCAACGGCAGAACCACCAGCAGCAGGAGCAGCGCCTGTTGTGATGTTTGGTGGGGGGTGCAGCGGCGGCCAACACCTCTCCGACACTTGGTTGCTCCATCCCTTCCTGCAAGCCCCAGTCCTTCTCCGTCCCCCTCAACCTCCCCTTATTTCCCTTCTCTCCCCCTCCTTTTCACCTCCACCCGCCTCTCTCCCTTCCCACGTCCCCCCTCTCAACCCCTGGGTGACGTGGCAGCCGCTGAGTAGCCCCGCGGGCCAGGCTTTCCAAGCTTGCCAGGCGGGCAATATCGAGGCAACTCCCGCAAGGCGTTCGCAGGGGGGCGTGGAGCGCACGCAAGGGGCACGCCAGGGATCGTTCCAGCAGCAGCAGCAGCAGCAGCCGCAGCAGCCGCAGCAGCCGCAGCCGCAGGCATCTGCAAGGTGTGTAGAGAAGCGTGAAGGGGGGATGAGTCCAGGGGGGCGGTTTCAGCCCAGTCTGACAGGGGTGGAGGGAGGGGCCGTGGTGATGTTTGGTGGGATCAACGACCTCGGCCAACGGCTCGATGACACGTGGATCTTTGGCCCAAAGCAAGAACGGGAGGTAACACCGGCTGTCTACCCTGGCTTTCCTGCTGCAGGTGGTAGTGTTGGCGATGCTAGTGATGCTCGTGATGCTGCTGGTGCGGCTGCTGGTGCGGCTGCTGAGCCTGCTGCTGCTAGTCGGGGAGTTGTTGCTTGCTCTGCGTCTGCTGATCCGGCGCGCAGCGAGTTGTGGCAGTGGCAGCAGCTGCACCCGGCGTGCTCGCCCCCCCCCAGGGGAGCGCATGCGGGCACGCATGTAGGAGGGAAGCAAGTGGTGTTGTTCGGTGGTATCGACACGGCCGGCCATAGGCTCTCGGATGCCTGGCTTCTGGATTTGGCAGAAGAGCCAATCACGTGGCGACAGCTGGAGATGGTACTGGGGGAGGAGCGAGGAGGAGGTGGAGGGGGGAGAGGGGGAGATGGAGGGAGAGGAGAGGTGGATGGTTTGGGCGCTGCTGCAACGGATGCAGAAACAAGTGGAGCAGCAGAGGTGGATGATGGTGGTACTGGCAGCAGAAGCGCTGCTGGTGGTGCGCCTGCTGCTGCTGCTGCTGCTGCTGCTGCTGCTGACAGCAGCAACGACATGAGCCGCAGCAGCAGCAGCAGCAGGAGCAGCAGCAGGAGCAGCGGACACGCGTTACCGTGCGCACGATCAGGCCACTCGCTGACAGGCATTTGCCATGGGACGGCTGTGCTCATAGGCGGCAGAGCAGCAGGCATGGAGGTGCTCAGTGACGTGTGGGTCATGCAGCTCCAAGGGGGAACCGTTGCCAGGTGGACCAAACTGGACTGCTGGGAAGACTATAAAGGGTATGGAGGTGGGAGTGGGGTTGGGAGTGGGAGTGGGAGTGGGGGTGAGGTTGGGGCTGAAGGGAGGGGTTTGGCAGGGCCGGGGCCGAGGGCTGGGCATTCTGCAACGCGATTGGTGGATGGGCGGGTGCTGCTGTTTGGAGGTGAGGGGGAGCAGAGAGAGCGGAGGAATGACTTGTGGGTTCTGGATGTGAGGGGTTGGGCTTTGGAGAGAGTACGGCGTCCGGGATGGTGCGAGGGGAGGAGCGGTGGACGGCTGTGTGGGGGTATGTGTGGCGGGCGGAGAGAGAGGCAAGCAGTGGGGCTACTGGGGGGGAAGGGGAGCAGGGTGAAGGGAGCGTGGGTGGGTGTGGAAGCGAGGGAGGCTGAAGCGTCGCGGGGGCAAGGGTTGGGGGTTCAAAGGTTCGAGGGCCAAGGGTTGGGGGTTCAAAGGTTCGAGGGCCAAGGGTTGGGGGTTCAAAGGGTGGGCATGTGTACACGCGACCAAGGCGAGGGTAGTGAGGGTGGTGAGAGTTTTCGCGGACGGGCAAGAGAGGGGCGACCAGCAGGAGTGTCAGGGGTAGGGGGAGGACGCAGAGGAGGAGGAAGAGGAGGAGGAGGTAGGGAGATTCAAGTTGTTCCAGCAAGTGTACTGGGATTTGGTGGGGCGAGCTTCACAGCAGTACCCATGGCGGCAGAGGGAGCAGCCAGAGCAACAGAGGCAGCACAAGATGCAAGGGTGGTGCAGCGGTCCCAGCAGCGCAGTACTCCCTCTGCAGTCCCGAGTCTCCGCACACCAACGCATGTCCTACCACCCGTAGCACCACCGTCACACCCACCAGCAGCACGAGCAGCACCAGCAGCACCAGCAGCACCAGCGGCAGCAGCAGCACAGACTGTGAGCGACACACCTGTACCCGCACTCCCCCTGCCATCCACCCAGCAAGCCGTTGCCATTGGCGAAGCCGCGCTTTCTCAGCCCCAACACCGACAGGCCCAGCAGCCCCAAAATCCCCTCCAGCCCCTGCAGCGCCAACTGCCCCAGCAGCCCCAAATCCCCCAACGCTGCCAGCAGCCCCAGCGGCAGCATCGACCGTGCTGGCGGCTGGTAAAGCCGCTGGGTGAGGCCCCAGCCCCCCGTGCATACCACGGCGCGTGTGCCATGGGTGGTGGCACGGCTGTGCTTGTGTACGGTGGCATGGTGGATCGAACATCCCCCTCTGCCACGCCACAGGTTTGCGCAGGCTTTGGTGCTTCAGCCGCAGCAGCAGCAGCGGCAGCAGCAGCAGCAGCAGCAGCAGCGGCAGCAGTAACCAGGCACAGTAGCGCCAGGCAGCCTGCTTCCGCTGAGGGTTCTGCTCCTCCTCCTCCTGCTTCTGCTGCTGTTCCTGCTGCTGCCCCTGCTCCTGCTCCTGCTACTGCTCCTGCCTCTGCGCCTGCACCTGCTCCTAGGGGCGGTGGTGTGCAGTTTGATGACTCGTTGCATGTCTTATACATTGTGTCTCCTGACTTGCTACCAACGCTGGGTTGAAGTAGGTTGGTGTGTGTGTGTGTGTGCGCGCGCGCGCACGCGCGTGTGTGTGTGTGTGCGCACACGGACTCGTGTGTGTGCGTGCGTGCGTGTGAGTGTGCATGCATGTGTGTGAGTGCGTGCATGTGTGAGTGTGCGTGCGTGGATGTGGGTGGGTCGGTGGGTGTGTGCGTGCGTGCGTGGGCGTTTTTGGGTGTGTGTGCATGCGTGTGTGTTCATGCATGCGTGAGTGTGAGTGTGAGTGTATGCGTGCGCGCGCGCGCGTGTGTGTGTGTGTGTGTGTATGTGGCGTGTGCATGTGACTGTGTGTGTGGGCGTGCGAAGGATTGATGTGCGTTCTTGGAAGGGGGGGGGGGGAGAGTGCGTGAGAGATGGGGGGGATGTTCACATGCCAGGATGGCTCTCAGGTTGTCACTCTGCAGTAATCAATCAAGCCTTGGTTGGTTCAGGGTGATTTTTATGCCCTACATAAAGGCAACTCATGAGAAAGCTTTCTTAGGGCACTCTTTGTACTACCGGTAATGTGCTGTGCCGTGCCTCTTTTCCTGGTCATGGCATGGCATGGCACTCATCATATCAGGCCGCTTCCAAATTGATAACGTTTCTTGTTTTCCGGTTCCTCCAATGCAGCTAGGCATGCTGCTGGCTGCACCTTGCTGTAGGTTCTTCTGCATCTCAGAGTAAAAAGTTCACCAGAATGATGGGGTACAAGGGAATATTGTCAACAAATATATTCATATTGCTTAGCTAGATCATATTTGTTCATAGCCTAGCTAGTTTAGTTCTTAGTGAGTACAGCCCTAGTTTTTTATCCCTTGACATTTTCCCTTAGTCACAACTTTCTCGCTACTCTAACATGGTATTGAGCTAGGTTATGTTTTTTTTTCCACCGTTACTCACGCTTCCGCTCCGCTGTTACTGTTCTTAACGTAGAATTGAATGACGAGAAAAAAACGTACAAGGGTATAAGCCTGAGTGTTGTACCAGTCAGAATAATTGAATAATGGTAAAGTGAGAGTACACACAAATATATCTAAGTTTTGTATCCTCTAAGAGGTGACTCTATACAGTCTATACAAACATGACAAATACACATGTTTGACACACCCCCTAGACTGCATAGGGGAATACCCTAAACAAGCAGCTCAGGGCGGCACTACTAGTCCAACCTCTGAGACAAGGGTCTGAGCGACCGGTCAGAAGGAGTACAGACAAGGCAAGCACAAGAGCAGGGCGGCACTACTAGTCCAGCCACTGGGAGAGGACACAAGTCCAGTCTGAGTATACATATAAAGGACAGTACAAAGTCAAGGTCCTAGCAAGTGAGAGGCTACAGGAACTAGACCAAGCTGTACACAGTGCCGCTGATGATCTTTAGGCGCAAGCGCCTTCGTAAAGATATCAGCCGTGTTGGCACCTGAGGCCAAGTGTACTACGCGAGCCTGACGTCGCTGCTGTAGCTCACGCAGGAGGAAGTACCGCAGCTGAATGTGCTTCGCTCTGCCCTCGAGTCGAGGCTCCTGACACAGGAGGATCATGGCCCTGTTGTCAGCGAACAGGACCGGGGCAGAGCTAGGCCGCTCACCTAAGTCAGTGAGCAAGAAGGTCAGCCAGCGGAGCTCCTGTGCCGCCATGGCACCGGCGTAGATCTCAGCCTCACAGCTGGACTGTGCAACAGACGAGGAGCGAGTAGCTCTCCACGCGACGGCACCTGAGCCAAGGCTGAAGCAGTAGCCCTGGGTAGACCGGAGTGTCTCAGCGTCGTCTGCCCACGAAGCGTCTGTGTGCCCAGTAAGGACCGCTGGCCTGCGTCCTCCTAGCACTAACCCCATGCCCGATGTACTAGCAAGATAACGCAGAACCCTCTTAGCGGCAGACCAGTGCTGCGGTCGGTGTCTGCCTGTGGCCACAAAGCGAGCCAGGATGCTGAGAGGGTATGCGAGATCTGGGCGAGTGCAAGTCATCAGGTACATGAGGCAACCCACCAGCTCTGCATAGGGGCCGCTGGGCTCTACCAACTCCTCAGGCACTGGAGCGGAGAGCCTGTGGTCTACAGGCAGAGGGGTGGGCTGTGCAGAGGAGAACTGAAGGCTGAACCTCTGAAGGACCTGGCGCACCAAGTGTGACTGAGTCAGGGTGATGGTGCGCGCAGCTCTGTCCCTGGAGATCTGCAAGCCAAGGTAACGGCGCAGTTCTCCAAGGTCAGTGCAGGTGTGTCTCTTCAGCAGCTCTGCCTTCACGGAGGCCAGCGCGTCCCTGTCTGCTGTGGCAAAGACCAGGTCGTCGACGTAAACGAGGATGTAGAACGGAGTCTGGCCAGCACGAACGAAGAGTGAAGGGTCTGCAGAAGACGGAAAGAACTGCAGGTCAGCAAGCGTAGCACGCAGAGTGTCGTGCCACTCACGGGGAGCCTGGCGCAGGCCGTAGACGGGGCGCCGCAGGAGCCACTGGGTCCCAGGAGGGAAGGTGCCAGTAAAGCCCGGAGGGCGGCGCAGGTAGACCTGCTCGTGTAGGCTGCCCTGAAGGAAGGCAGTGGAGAAGTCGAGGGAGTGAAGCTCGTAGTCACGCTGAGCAGCTAGGTGTAACAGAACCCGAAGAGTAGTCATCTTCGGGGTCGGAGCGAAAGTCTGGAAGAAGTCCACCCCCTCGCGCTGACTGAAGCCTCTAGCCACATAGCGCGCCTTGAAGACAGGCGGCTCTCCAGAAGGGCGCTTCACCTTGAAGAGCCAGCGGCCATCGACTACGTTCACCCCAGGTGGGGGAACTGCGTCGACGAAGGTGCCGGTGGATCTCCAAGATGCCATCTCCTGCTCCATGGCAGCTATCCACTGCGAGGCCCAGGGTCCCGAAGTCGCCTCAGCGTAAGTGCGAGGGGTCGGGATGTCGAAAGCGTCTGGGTCACCCTCAGGGACTAGCAGCATGGAACAGAGATGGGGAGCAGCCTCGGAGAGGAAAGCAAGCTCGAACTGGCCGTCCTCCAGGACGTCACTGCCAAGGGCAGGAGCACCCCCGACAGACGGAGGACAGGCAGGGTCAGAGACCAGAGCGGTGGCGTAGTCAAGGCGGCGGGTAGAGGCGAAGTCAGCGACAGCAGCGACAAGAGCGTCAAGGCACGAGACTGGAACAGACGGGTCGGTAACGAGAGAGGCAAGGACCCGAGGAACGAGAGGACGAGCGGCACGAAGGTAGTCGGACAGCGGGGGGGGCGCAACAACAAGGGAGGACGGAGGAGGTGACGGCAGAAGGGGAGGACGAGACGCGTGTGAACGAAGCAACATAGGGTGGGAGCGCAGGACAGGCGAGGCAGGACGAGCACGGGAGGGACGGTGAGACCAGACGTGCGATGGAGGAGTCGGGTCAGGAGACAGGGGAGGGGACACAGGAGGGGAACGAGGGGGGAGACGGGCCGGGGACGAGTCCGGCGGAGGGAAAACAGGGCCGTAGACAGGAAGAGGAGGAGACGGTCGGGGAGGAACCGACGCAGGGTCGGGGGACGGAAGGCCGAGCAGGCGAAGGGCGGACACCGGCGGGGACTGCTGCTGCGGCGGCACAACGGCGACACCTGGACCGCAAGCTGCTCCTCGGCTACCACCGGCACTCTCCACACCCGCACCCCCAGAGGGACCACCCTCAGGGCGACCGGGACGAGCACCCCCAGCGTCAGCGAACAGGGGCTGCGACGGCGGCGGCGGCGGCGGCGGCGGCGACGGCGACGGCTGCAGTGGCGGCAGGGACGGCGGAGGAGGGGACTGGGGAGGGGACACCTGGGGAGGGGCGGCCGGCGAGGACTGCACCGGAGGGCCACCAGAGTCAGAAGACTCCTCAACCGGGTCCACGGACGGAAGGGGGGTGACATGGGAGACACCAGAGGGGGCGGGACGGGGAGGAGGAGGAGGAGGGGCAGGGACTACCGGGGAAGGGGTGACCAGGAACAGGGGGGGGGTAACCGGGGGACCACGGTGGGGGAAGCGGCGGTAGTAGGAGACGGACTCGTCAAAGGTGACGTCACGAGAGTGAAAGAAGCGGTGAGACGGCGGGTGGTAAAAGTGCCAGTCGGACGCGTCAAGGGGAAAACCGAGGAAGACGCAGGGAAGGGTGCGGGCAGTGAGCTTGTCCGTGCCGGAGGCACGGACGTGAGCAAGGCAGCCCCAGACGTGGAACGCAGACGCGTCACCAGGAGACCCAGTCCACAGACGGGTTGGCGAAACCTGCGGCTGCTGAGGGTGCGGCCACAGGTTAAGCTGGTGAGAAGCGTAGCGCACAGCGAACGGCCACAGAAAATGGGGTGCACCGGCATGGACCATGGAGGTGCGAGCGACCTCCATGACCAAGCCGATGCGTCGCTCAGCGACCCCATTCTGCTGTGGGGAGTCCGGTAGGGTGAACGTCTGGGTGATGCCCTCCGCACGACAAAAGCGACCAAGGACACCTGAGGCAAACTCGCCACCACGGTCTGAGTGAAGACGCAAGACAGGGAGACCGCGGTGGACACGCGCAGAGACAAGCCAGGGAATGAGGGCGCCAGGCACGTCGGCCTTGCGCTCCAGGGGAAAGACTGTGGTGTAACGAGTGAAGTCGTCGACAAGCACAAGGAAGTAGCGCTCGCAACGCGGCCCAGGGACGGGGGCGGGGCCCCAGACGTCCAGGTGCAGGGTCTGCAGCGGCGCGGCGGTAGGGGGAAACGAGGAGGAGTGAGGGGCACGGCGAAGCCGACCCTCGACACAAGGCGTGCAAGGTGGAGCTGGGGAGGAGGGAAACGCGGGGAGTGAACCTGGGAGACCAAGGACAAGACCGTGCTGGGACATGTGACGCAGACGCGGGAGCGCAGGGTGACCTAGGCGGTGGTGCCACAGGAGGGTCGGGTGAGTGAGGGAGCGACAGGAGCACGCAGCAGCAACCTGGGTAGACAGAGCCACTTGAGGGGGCGCTCCAGCCGGGGGGGGCACGGTGTCCAGAGTGAACAGGCCGGACACCGGGTCCCGGGGGAACGTGGACAGGGGGGCACCAGTGGCGGCCTCGGTACAGACAGCATACCGCTCGTGACCAGGGAACGTAGTGGTGACGCCAAGGTCCTGGAGGCAGCCAACACCAACTAGGTTCCTGGAGAACGAGGGGATATGCAGACCTGTAAGAGAGCCCGAAGGAACCGCCGGACAGGGAAGGGTGGTGGAACTGCGGGCGACTACCGGGCCGCCGGAGGGGTCAGCAAGAGAAACGACAGCAGGAACAGGAAGCGGCGTCAGGGTGGTGGAGTCGCGGAAGAAACACCGAGAGGCGCCAGAGTCCAAGGTGAAGGAAAGCGAAGCCGAGGGGTCTGGCGACGGAACGACGGCAGACGCACCAAGACTACACAAAGCAGGGGATCCTACGCCTGACGCAGCAGGGGAGGCTAAGCTAGGCACACCTACACTAGGCAACAGTGAGTAATAAGTCGGAAGCACACTAGAGTCATCAGCATACATCACATGCAGAGCAGAAACAATGGCATCCATGTCCATATCAAAGATCTGAATCTGACGACTAAGCAAACTGTGCCAGTCCGGGAGGTCTGGCGACGGGCCGAAACGCTGACGAAAGAGGTCGTCCAGGCGACGAAAGCAGC